CTTATTGAGTAATCTATTGGTATATTTGTATATAATGATACAACATCCAGTGATATTATCCGATGATTCTTTGTTATTTTTTGTTGTTTTATAAATTTACAAAAACTCCATGAGCCTTTAATGTAATATTGTGACTTTTCCAATACATTACTCAAAACTGCTGACAGATATTTAGATAATTAGTACGTTGGAGCATTTATGTTACTAACTATTGGTCGTAATGGAATGTTTTCCTTATGAAGCTTTGGTACGGCATATATAAATGGTGCTTGGCCATTGTTGCAAGATAGTGTTCGTTTCAAATTATCTGTTATGAATTTCTTTTCATGCCATAAATTTATTATTTTATTGAGTTTTGTTTGTATATTGGTACTAAGATCTTTTTTTCCGGTTTATATGTGTTTATGTCACTTATTAAACCTAGCATTTTCGTTTCGTATTCACTTTTTAACGTAATTACAGTTTTGTTACATTCATCTGCTGGTAGTATGCAAATGTTTGTGTTTTCATATATACATTTTTTTGTTTCATTTATCAGTCCATTAACATTGCATGCTATACTTTTATTTGTGTTTTGTTTTATTTTACCTTTGAAATTTGTTAAGATGTTACACAATTTATTTCTGATCTCCTTCTTTGCCTCATTGGACCATAGTGAGACTTATTTATGGAAAACCCTGGTCCAAGTGATAAGATGTATTTTACGTTGTTCGGTATGTTTAGTGAAGTCAAATTCTTTATCCAATTTTCATTAATGTTACATTTGTTTGTTCTGCCATGTTTCTTTGCTAAAAGTTTTTCTAGTGTATTTTTTTGTTTTGCTTTAATCTTGTTGAAAACAGTTTCATATTGTTGTTCTTCTTGTTCATAAAACACTTTTATTTTACTTTGATGGCATTTTTTTTGTTGTAACGATATTTTAACATTATTAATGTCTTTGTTAATTCCATTCAGGTTGGAACAACAATCGCTCAGTATTATATTTAAACATTGCATATAGAATACGTCCAAGATTTACAAATATTTTATTTGATTCTGTCCGTTCCCAAAATTAAATTCCCTTCTCCTCACCGGTATAAATTTTGGTGGGACGGCAAGGTTCGTGCATCTGGTCAAAAAGTTTTTCCGGTTCTTTTCTCTTGCCAGTTTTTTTTCCGGTTTATATGTTTTTATATCATTTATTAAGCCTAGCATTTTCGTTTTGTATTAACTTTTTAACATAATTACAGTTTTGTTACATTCATCTGCTGTTAGTATGCAAATGTTTGTGTTTTCATA